ATACCATGGAGTACTACTCAGCCAGCAAAAAGAATAAAATAATGTCTTTGGCAGCAATTTGCATGGAACTGGAGACCATTATCGTAAGTGAAGTCTCAGGAATGGAAAAATAAACCCCACATATACTCACTAATAATTGGAAGCTAAACAGTGGGCACACACAGGCACAAAGAGATGTAGAGGACAATGGAAACCAAACAGGGAGGAGCGTGGGTAAGGGGTAAAAACCTACCTGTCAGGAACAATGAATGCTGTTCTTGTGACAGGTACAGTAAAAGACCCAATTTTGTGTTATACTAGATATTCATGTAACAGAAACGTTTTACCCCCTTAATATTTTGAAATTTAAAAAATCAGTGAGAAAAACGTATTATGATAGAAAAATGGGCAAAGAATATAAACAGAATATTAAATGTCCAGTAGACATATGTAAAATGGTCACCTTGGCTACCTACTGATCAGGGGAAGTACAGATGAACAAATAGGTAACATTTTACGTTTATTAACTTGGGAAAAGTAAGTGCTGACAGTACCAGCTGTTGTGAGTGGAACTCACACTGCTAGTGGGAGTGTAAATAGGTACAAACTGCTTAGGAGAGCAATTTAGTAATAATCTCGTTAAGTGGCTGTTGCTTGACCTGTAAGTCCTATTCCAGGTATTCACACAGTAGAATACAATACAGGTCAGTAAATGAGGTAGAGCTATGTGTATAGATAAATGTTAGTAACATAGTGTTACATGAATAAAAATTGCCTACATTCAGTTTTGCACCATTTTTATAAAATTTGAAACATTCAAATCAATACAACACGTAAAATATGTAAGTGGTAAAAGTATAAAAATATACATGAGAATACTATAACCAACTTAAGGCTAGTAGTTACTCTTGGGGAAGGGAATGGAAGGAATAGGGTCAGAAAGGAAAGGTTTGCCCAGGAGGCTTCATTGTACTTACAGAATTGGATGTATTGGAATATTTCAAGTCCCATGTCCTTCTCTATTACCTCGTTCTAGAGCTGGCTGCATCTAATGGTTTAATGTCTGGCTTTTCTGGGCCTGTGCATATGAAAGCAGAACAGCACACTGTTAAAGCACCCACTCTGGCATAAGGGTGCCTGGTTGTGCAAGGTGGTCATGAGGATTACATGACCTTGTCCTTGTAGAGCACATTGCACTGCACTCTGCCTGGCACATTTATGGTGTTTGTTGAGCATCTACAATCAGTGAAGTATAGTGTTTATGAACATATTACATGGAGACCATATTAATGTCTAGCACGTGGAAAGTACATTATAGGCTCATTTTAAGTACAGAGTAGGAAAGTGTGTTTAATGCATGAATGTACACAGTTTGGGTGTTTCTTCTATTCTGCAATGTGTGTTTTTCACTTAACAGTATTTCTTGGTGATCTTCCATGTCAAAACATAACAGACCTATGTAATTTTTTTCACCACATTAAAAAGAAATGATTTGATCTGATTTTTAGTTTCTATGACTTGTATTATTTTCCTTTACCATTTTTGAATTGATATTTATGTTTTTACTATTGTATTTTAGTAGTTCTATCTATATTTTGAATACAAACCCTTTGTTACATATCATATGTGTATATATGTCCTTTTTTCTTCCACATTGTTACAGTGTTTTTAGTATTTTTTATTACATATAAATTTAAAATTTTTATGTTGTAAGTCTGTTTACTACATAAAATTGATATTCTTGTTATTTATATTACATTATATAATCTCCTTCTTGTCTAGGACATATATAGTTTTAGTTATCACATCAAGTCAGGGTACAGTGCTGTCAGTCTTTTGTGCTCTACACTGGCCAGGCATAGAGGGGGCGTGTGCTCACACCTCCACACAGTGCTTAGCACAGTAAATATGCAATTAACATTAGCAACACAGTTTGGAAAACTGGGGTGTAACTTAATTGTTTCCAAAAGGAAAGCCAATTACCCCAGTTACAATAATTGAGTAATCTAGCTTTTTTCCTACTGATGGGAAATGGAAATGGCTGCTTTTCTACAGATGTGAAATAGACCATTTATTTAATAGTCCCCTGTTGATGAACACTGTTCATGCTTGCTTCGGACAGTGCTGTACTGGACCTCTTTGTATGCATAACCCTCTTGTGCATTTGTACCACTTTATCTTGGGTAAACCTGTAGATGTTGAATTTCTTGGTAAAGGATATTACATTTTAGGTTCTGATGGCCACTGTCCAATTTCGTTTAAAGAGCTGCATCAAGTCACAGTCAGATCAACAAGGTAGGTTGCCAGCTCCATTTTCTCAGCAGCACTTAAGTGAAAATAGTGCCTCACTGACGGTTTAATTTGCACTTTACCTATGATTGAGAGAGAATATTTTTCAGATTTTACTGGATATTTATATTTGTAAATTGTGCCTTTTGCCCAGTTTTCTGTTTGGTAGTTCATAATTTTCTTTTAGATATATGAGAGTTCTTTGTATATTACATAAATAATGGTCTTTTCTATCATAAGTTTTATAGATATTTTCCCTTACTTTTCATTTGTCTTTTTACTTTTTTATTTTTTGCATTTTGCCATACACAGTCTTTAAATTTATGATGTCTGTTTTCTCTTTGAAAATGCTTTTTATTTTATTTTTTATTTATTTATTTTTTTTTAATTTTTATTTCGGCATATTATGGGGGTACAGACTTTAAGGTTTCAATAAATGCCCATTTCCCCCCACCCCCCACAAGTCTGAGTCTCCATCATGACCATCCCCCAGATGGTACACATCTTACTCATTATGTATGTATATACCCGCCCCCCCTCCCCCCTCCCACCTGCCCAATACCCTATTACTGTAGTACCTATGTGACCACTTAGGTGCTGTTCAGTTAATACCAGTTTGCTGGTGAGTATATGTGGTGCTTGTTTTTCCATTCTTGGGAAACTTCACTTAATAGTATGGGTTCCAGCTCTAACCAGGAAAATATAAGATGTGCTATATCACCGTTGTTTCTTAGAGCTGAATAGTACTCCATGGTATACATATACCACATTTTATTAATCCATTCTTGGATTGATGGACACTTGGGCTGTTTCCACAGCCTTGCAATTATGAATTGTGCTGCTATAAACATTCGAGTGCAGGTGTCTTTTTTGTAGAGTGTCATTGGATCTTTTGGGTAGATGCCCAGCAATGGGATTGCTGGATCAAATGGTAGAATCACTTGTATCGCTTTAAGATATCTCCATATTGCTTTCCACAGAGGTTGAACTAGTTTGCAGTCCCACCAGCAGTGTAGGAGTGTTCCTCTCTCTCCGCCAGCATTTATTGTTTGGAGATTTTTTGATAAAGGCCATTCTCACTGGGGTTAAGTGATATCTCATTGTGGTTTTGATTTGCATTTCCCTGATGATTAGAGATGTTGAGCATTTTTTCATATGTTTGTTGGCCATTCTTCTGTCGTCTTTAGAAAAGTTTCTGTTCAAGTCCTTTGCCCACTTTTTAATGAGGTTATTTGATTTTTTCTTCCTGATTTTCGTAAGTTCTAAGTTGAAAATGCTTTTTAAACTACCTAACTGCTTTGACAAATTTATTTTGGGGCATTATAAAAATTTTCTTTGAAAATCTTTAAAAATAGGTTAATCTTGTTGCTATTACTTTGAAGTGGCATAAATTACTGAGCATTAAGTAGGCTTTCAAACTTTGTCCCTAGACACTAACTTAATTGTTAAGTTGAGCCAAATCACTTGGTGTTGAGGAAAATGTTTTCCTCACCACCTCATGTAAAACAACCACCTTAAAGGGCAACCTCTGTGGTATATCTAAAACTATTACTTTCATAGGTATTTTTATGTTCAACTTTTTTTGAAAGTCTTCTTTTGTATAAAATGAGGTATACATAAATCTTCAGTTAGCTAAGATTTTTAATCCTTGCTTCTTACTGCATCCTGCCTGACCTATAACAAACTAAAACAAACGTATATTAACTTCACACACGATATTTTTGATCATGTTTATTGTATATAAAAAGTAGCCTTATGTTGATGTTTTGCAAAATAGGATGTTGTCTGGTAGCTGATGACATCTTTGTTTAGAATCTTGCCTATGGTGACAGGGTTTGGTCTTCAGACATTCTCTGGAAGTAGAGGCCAGCCCTGCAGAGAGGCAGCTGTGGAAGAGCCAAGAGTCGGTCAGGCTTGGGTTTGGGTCTGGGCACCTCCTCTTATTATATGTGACCTTGAGCTCAGTACATAAGTTGGTTGAATAAAATGGGTGAAATACACCTATTCTGAGGACTAAATGAGATAATTGGTGTGAAGTACCCAGTGCACGATGGAAGTACAGCACATAAATTGTAGCCGTGTTAGTCTGCTGGGCAAAAACTCCTTTTTAGACTTTTGGAGGCACACGCTTGCGTGGTCTTTCTTGCTCTCTCCTTCTCCAGTGTTCATTTGCCTCCCCAGCCCTAATCCCTATGCACAAAAGAATGACTAAGAGTTTTGGTTTGGAAAAGTTTGACATTGAAGACATTTATTTATTTATTTATTTAAGCATTTAAGCATATTATGGGTTACAAGTGTTAAGGCTACATATATTGCCCATGCCCCCCTTCCCCCTCTAGTAAGCTTCAAGCGTGTCCATCCCCCAAACGTTGCACATCTTACTCATTGGTTGTATATACCATCCCTCTCCCCCTCCACCTGCCCGACACCATTAAATGTTATTCCTATAAGTCCACTTAGGTGTTGATCTGTTAATACCAATTGGCTGGTGAGTACATGTGGTGCTGGTTTATCCATTCTTGAGATACTTCACTTAGTAAATGGGTTCCAGCTCTATCCAGGAATATACAAGGTGCTATATTCCATTGTTTTCTTAAAGCTGAGTAGTACTCCATGGATACATATACCACATTTTATTAATCCACTCATGGATTGATGGGCACTTGGGTTGTTTCCACAGCTTTGCAGTTGTGAATTGTGCTGCTATAAACATTCAAGTGCAGGTGTCTTTTTCATAAAGTGACTTTTGATCTTTTGGGTAGATGCCCAGTACATTGAAGACCTTTTACAACAGTTATTTGCATGTCTGGGTGTGTACGTATTCTAGTATTTTGTAGTAAATTGACAGCCTGAACTTTCCCATCTAAACGTCGTACAGATTTTTTTTTTGATATGAATTATGCTGCTCCCTCTTCCTTGAGTTCCCGCCATTGTCTGACTGTCCGAATCCTTCTTATCTTTTGTAGTTTGGTTACATGTCCCAAGTACCAAGTTTACCTTTGGGAGGCATCCCCCCAGGCAGGGGTTTGACTGCTCCTTCCTCTAGGTTCCTCCTGGTCTTCTAGCTCTGTATCTGTGACTCACTCCCTTTGTTCTTTTGGAGCAGGACCACATACCATGCATCTTCATCTCTCCTGCACAGTTATCCTGGCATTTGGTGGATAAGTGTGTGAATTATTCTTAAACTGTATGGTTTTAGATAGGTCACCTAAACACTGAGACTTAGTTTCCTCATCTGTACAATGTGGCTTTCTGCCTCTGGACAATCCTCTTCAATTACTCTTCTCGAGGTCACCAATAAAGTTGCAATTGCCAGATTAGATGGCTATTTGTGGGCTTTATGCCCTGTGACATTTGACAATGACCACTGCTTCTTGACACCCCCACCCCTACACACCACCCCAGGTCCACTCATTCTTACACTTCTGAGAAGACTGCTCCTCTGCTTCCTCTGCTGCTCCTGGTACTTGGTCTTAGACATGTCCATTACAGGTCTTTAAGATTCTGCCCTACAGCTTCTTGTCTTTCTATACGTTTCCTTCAACTGTATCCATTATCCCATATTCATATTTCCCCTGCTGGCTCCAGACCTGTGTTTCCAAACTGAGTTTGGAGTGTGCACACTTGCCTGCTGGGCACTCTCAAGCTGAGCATACCTGAGTAGATCATTCCTGCCCTTTAAACTGCTCTTCCTTTCCGTTATTTCCTGATCTCAATTAATGTCATCATCATCCATCAACAACGTGTTGCCTTTTCCATTCCCAGTCTCCTTATCTAGGGACCATCCCTGACAGTTTCAGCACCAATGCTCTTTGAATTGGCCCTCTCCTCTGCTCCAGCTGCTCCAGGCCCTGCTTGCTCAAAGAGGTTGGGACAGCAGCCTCCTGACCCGCTCTACATACTCCTTGTTCAGTTCCTTCCTTTGTAGAAGTAGAGAGTCAATCACATCACTTTCTTATTTTAAAAATCCGCAATGGCTTTTCATCACTGTGAACTCATTTATAAAAGCCTTAGCGTGACATATTAATACAAATCCCCTCACTTTCCGAACCCCCCCATTCAACCTCAGCTCCCTCCATTCCTGCCCACATTGTGCTCATTGCACTTTCATGTCCAAGTGCTTTCTTCACGTTTTTCTCCTTAGATCGCCTTTTCCTTTATTATCCAACATAGTGCTTCTTGTACTTGAGGATTCTAAAAACCTGTGTCTTTATTTAATTTTTTTAAACATACGGACTTTGGGCCTATCCCCACAGGAATTTTGATTCAGTGTCTGGAGTGAGGCCTGATCTCATTTTCTTTATCTGAAAGATGACAGTGTAGAAAATAGATAATTACAAAGATTCTATAAAATTCTGTATGTATGTGGTCCTAGAATGCTTCTAAATATTTTGTTTTATATTATATAAATATCCAGATATGGAAAGGAGGAGAGAACATCTCCTCAGAAGGCTGTGGAGATCAACTGGATCAGGAACTGCTGCTCTGGGCCCAGCTTGTTTGTCACCTACTTTGTGACATCACCCCTTAGGCTCTTTCCTTTGTGCTGTTCTTAAAGCGCTTTCTGCTTAACCTTTAAAAAGACACTAATGTTGAAATTGAAGCTCCTTGTGTATACATTTGCATTTTCTATTAGATTCTACAGCCATCCGGGCTAGTACTGGGACTTAGGCATTTTTAGATTTCCTGTGCTTTGCCCATAGTAGATACTATCTACATGTCTGTTAATTAAATTAAGAGCTATTTGAAGGAAATTAAGAGATATTTGAAAAAAGTTTTTAAACTGTAAGAAGGATCTGCTCACTGTAGATGTGAGTAGTTATTAATATCAAGAATACTGATGTTTTCCAATGTTTTTCTTTTTGCTTAATTTTTAAAAATACTATTAGAACCCTTTAGGAGGGAGAAAGTGCTAGAACTTGTTAGACATTTTGCTTGTATTGAGTCTATTTTGAAGAACTGATTTCTTAGGCAATGTGCAGCAATGTTCAACTGTTTTTTTCCTTATAATGTAAGAAAAAACATCCTTGTCTGTGTCTTTAAGCAGAGATAATCTCTATGGCAATATCTACATGTTTCCAGGATCTTCCATGTAGATAGTGTGATTTGTTGATAATTTAGGTGCTTGAAACACCTAAATTTTAAAAAAATGTATATTTTTTGTAGGTTCCTAATGTCGGTTGGATTTTTTCTTTTATTTATAGATTTCAAGACATACTTTCCTTAACATTCTATGAGAATATGTTTCATAAGAGAGAAATGGAGATTTTTATCTAGTACCTACCATCAGAGATTCTTATTCTCAGCCTTTTTACTTGGAGAGAAAAGAGCAGCAGCAGTCTTTCTCTTCTGCAAGTGAAGAACAGCGTCGTTCCTAGAAAGTTAGGAGGAAATTTAAAAATTGACATTGGTGGACTTAGGCTTTTTAAAGGCTGCTTCATCTCTTATCATTCTTCCCTCTCCTGCGCACCCCCCCCCCCCCAGCCAATCCTTGAGATCCTTCAGAGCTAAGCATCTGGTTCCCGCTGTTTACAGTGGTCATGTTTAGACCACAGCAGACTCCCCTTCACTTTACCTGGGGAAGGTCTTACACCTCGCCAGATCCCAGGCCTCCTGTTCCCTTAGTTTTGGGGAGCTCCAGAGCTTGTCACCTCCCCATCCCTTGTGAGGAAACTTGGGGCTTTTCTTTCCACCACTTACAGGGTTGCCTCAGTCCTTAAGACAAGTTTCTCTTCCCTGTAACCCGCAGGGTGCCATGTTTTTTGTCTCTGTGTTGCAAACCAGTTTCTTCCAGGTGTCCATCCCTGTCTCTCTCTCCCGCTCCCCTCTACCTACCTGTGGACACCACCCACCCCTGCCAGGTGTAGCACAGACAGTATTGGGCATTGCCTATCACTTTGACCTGGAGGCTCATCGCTGGGAAGGCCCCTGATTTTTGTTTTCGTTTTTTGTAAACTGGAAGATCTTGATTTTATATAACCTTGCTGTTTTTGTCCTGGGAATTTAAATGTAACATCAAATGAAAAATTCGTGTCTGTGTTGCTAATACAAAATTTTAATTTTTCTTTACAGGTCAACTTTGTAGTGTGCCAACTCTTTGCCTTGCTAGCAGCCATTTGGTTTCGAACTTATCTACGTTCAAGCAAAACTAGCTCTTTTATAAGACATGTAGTTGCTACCCTTTTGGGCCTTTATCTTGCACTTTTTTGCTTTGGATGGTAAGTAATTTCGATCATTTTAAAACGAAGACTATTTGGATATATTTGAGAATTGAGTGTGTAGAAAGATACGTTATATAGGGTTTTGTTCTTATATTTATTTAAGAAGTTCTCTCCGGGTCAGCTTAAAAAATTTTTGTTTTTAAAGAAGGACAATAAATAAAAGATGGGGAATGGGCTCTCTCTTTAAGAGGATTTACTATTTATAATTTATGAACAAGGACAGATGAAAAAAGGATATAGAGACATTTTATTCTGTCATGAGTAGTTCTTTTTACCTATTTTGCATATTTTTTTAAAATCTAAGGCAGATAAACAATTTAATATGTTTTTCTGTTTGCTTGTTTTTTCTCTGTTCAGGTAGCTTTTAAGAGTCTGGTAAAGCCCATAAATAGAATTCTATTGCCATTTTTTAGATTTTACCATTAGTGAAAGAGGCCTTTTGTTGGTTCATTTGTTTGTTCTTGGTGGGGAAGAATTATTTAGATGGAAAGCTTTTATTTTGACCCTTCTGTGAGTGTGTGTTTTCTTCAGTTAGCTCCCTTTCCCAGTTGTCAGGACCACCCTGAGAGCTTTAACAACAGAAATACTATACCTCCTGTTTGTTAAAGGTCACTGTGGTTGTGCATGACAGGAAGTCAGGAGAAGAGCTGTCTTGGCAGCGGGACTCTCAATGGAAGCCCTTCTTTGTGATTTCTTCCTGAGTGAGTGTGCATGCTGCTTGCTCACTGGCTCTGGTCTTTACCCACTCACAGATAAGGATTTCTAGGCTTGCTCTACTGCAACTCTACTGAGTTGAAAATTCTCTGAGTGGATGAAAATGCACTCACTTGGTCTGTGCTTTAGTAGTTTTTGTTGTGGGTATAGAATCTGTGGGACTTTGGTAATACTTCTGTGTTTCTTCTATGATGTTTTTGATTATTATGAAAGTTGGAATACATTATTTCTTTTCTTTTCTTTTTTTTTTTTTTTTGAGACAGAGTCTCGCCTTGTTGCCCAGGCTAGAGTAAGTGCCGTGGTGTCAGCCTAGCTCACAGCAACCTCAAACTACTGGGCTCAAGCAATCCTCCTGCCTCAGCCTCCTGAGTAGCTGGGACTACAGGCATGCGCCACCATGCCTGGCTAATTTTTTCTATATATATATTAGTTGGCCAATTAATTTCTTTCTAATTTTATAGTAGAGACGGGGTCTCGCTCTTGCTCAGGCTGGTTTTGAACTCCTGACCTCGAGCAATCCTCCCGCCTTGGCCTCCCAGAGTGCTAGGATTACAGGCATGAGCCACCGCGCCTGGCCCATTATTTCTTAATCTAACTTTTTGCCTCTGGTACTTGCAAATGTGTCTTAGAAACTTGTGAAAAATCTATTAAGGGTAACTTAATTTAGTCTCTACCATATTACCATACTACCTCTGATAGGCACTGCCCATGGTAGATAAGGGTTTAGTATTGAGATTTAGATGTGATGTCTTACATAAGATCTAAGTATGGTCTTTTGCTTTCTCAATATCAAATTTGTATCATCACAGTTTTTTGAGGTGTCTCAGGTGATACTGTTTAAACTTTTCATAAATCATGCCATGGAGTATTTTTAAACTTTTATTAATGAGCTATTCAGACACAGAAGTACAAAGAGTAATGTAATAAACCCTCATATGCCCATTACCCATAGCTTCAACAATTATTAAAATTTCATCATTCTTATTTTATCCTCTCCCCACCTTAGTTTTCAATAGTATATGGAAGCACATCCAAGTCTATACATTTCATCCACAAATAACTTTAGTATTCAGTATATATTTGGGTAGTATATTTTCAAGAAGGGTTGGGGAAGGCTTGCAGTTCAGATTGGCCAACTCCAGGGGACACCATTGGCTTTGTTCTCTGTAGAGACAGAAGATTAAAATGTAAATAGTGTCTCCTACAGTTGTGTAGCATGTTGGTACTGCCAAAGATGGGGATGAATCTCTTTGCTTACAAATCTACTGAGGAAGTATTCTCTTTTGCTGTGAAGCCTTCTTCGATGCTTTATAACACAGTGCCATAAGTAACTCGACGCCGTGTTATAATGTCAGATAGTCCTAAATGTTTCAAATTATATGCCATAACCAGGATTTCTGTTTTTAAAAATGAGTTCTCTGTTCTTAAAGGAGAAATATTTTTGTATTCCTTTCTTTGGGAATAGGGATAGTTTATGCCTCTATACCACATGTAAAATAACTTTCTGGTAATTAGAACTAGCTAATGGGAAAATATTCTTTTGATTTGAATTTCAGCACTTAGTTTTTAGGCTCAATGGCAATCATATCTGCTCTTGGTTTTCACAACCTTCCTTTTGGAAAATATGTTAGTACTCTGTAAATATGTAGACATACCTCAGAGATACTTGTAGGTTCCATTCTAGGCAACTAGAATAAAACGATTATTGTAATAAAGCGAGTCACGTGAATATTTTTGCTTTCCAGTGCATATAAAAGTTTTGTTTACACTATACTGTAGTCTGAAGTGTGCAACAGTATTATGTCTAGGAAAACAATATACATTTGTTAATTTAAAGAAAACACTTTATTCCTAAAAAATGCTAATGATCATCTGAGCCTTGAGAATCTTTTTGCTTCTGGGGGGGCCTTTTTTTTTCTCAGATAGAATCTCACCCTGTTGCCCATGTTAGAGTGCTGTGGCGTTAGCCTAGCTCACAGCAACCTCAAACCCCTGGGCTCAAGTGATCCTCCTGCATCAGCTTCCTAAGTAGCTGGGACTACAGGTATGCCCCATGCCTGGCTAATTTTTTTTCTATTTTTAGTTGCCCTGCTAATTTCTTTCTATTCTTGGCACTTTTATATAATGGAGACCACTTCTTTCCTTAAGCCTCATGAACCAGCTAGCTTTGAACTGCTAGCTTCAAAATCTTCTTTTGTAGCTTCCTCACCTCTCTCAGCCTTCACAGAATTGAAGAGAAATTAGGACTTGCTCTGGATTAGGGAATGTTGTGACTTTGGCTTAAGGGAATGTTGTGACTGGTTTGATCTTCTATCTAGTTCACTAAAACTTTCTCCATATCAGCAATAAGACTTTTGCTTTCTTATCATTTGTATGCTCACTGGAGTAGCACTTTTATTTTACTTCAAGAACTTTTTCTTTGCATTCACAACTTGGCTAACTGGTGCAGGAGGCCTAGTTTTTGTCCTGTCTTTGTTTTTGACATGCCTTCCTCACTAAGCTTAATAATTTCTAGCTTTTGATTTTAAGTGAGAGATATAGGACTCTTCCCTTCCTTTGAACACTTAGAGGCCATTGTAGGGTTATTCATTGGCCTGATTTCAATATTATTATGTCTCAGGGAATAAGGACGCTGGAAGAGAGGGAGAGAGATGGGGGAACAGCAAGTAAGTGGAGCAGTCAGAATATACAAAACATTCATCATTTAAGTTCACTGTCTTATGTGAGTGCAGTTTGTGATGCCCCAAAACAATTATAGTAGTACCATCAAAGATCACTGATCCCAAATCACCATAACAGATGTAATAATAACAATGAAAAAAATGGAAATATCATGAGAATTGCTGAAGTGTGACACAGAGACACAAAGTGAGCACATGCTGTTGGAAAAATGGTGCTGACTTTGATGCAGGGTTGCCAGAAATCTTCGATTTGGAGAGAACTCACTATCTGCAAGTGCAGTAAAGCAAAGTGAATAGAATGAGGTCTGCCTGTAATTGATCATTTTACCTACTTGTATTTGGTCTTACCTTTTTTTCTTAAAACTATCATCTGCAAGTTTCTTTTAACTGCTAATTAATTTATACTTTATTTATTTAAAACATTCATAACAATACAGGCCTGGAATACAGCTTAGACTCTGAAGTGAGACAGGCCTGCATCCCTGGGTTCCTTGCTCTGGTAGCTGTGCGTCTCTGGATATGTTATTCAACTCCTCTTAGCTTCGTTTTCCTCAGCTGTAAAGTGGAACCAATGATTACTGTGAGGCCTGAAATCTGTAAAACTAGAGCAGAATGGATTGTCATTGTGAGTGTGGAAATTACTGTGGGTCAGTCGTCTTTTATGACCATCATCTAGTTGGTGATCCAGATTGGAAGTTTTTGTGTATTCAGTCTCTTTTTTAGAGTTATTATACAATATTGAAGTACCTTATTATTTGTGTCTTTCTCTCTCAACTGGAAGCTCTTCAAGGATGGAAACTGTCTCATCAACTCTTGTATTAATATTTCCAGTGTCCAGTATAGTGTCTTTCAGAAAGTAGACATTCAGTAAAGATTGATTAAACAACTGAAGAGGTTCAATCTTTTTTTTAAAACTTGTGTTCTTTTTTTCTAACAATAAATTTTATATCTGCTTTTAGTCTGATTTTAAATTCAAAATAAGTAAAATGTGATATCTAAAACAAACTGATATTTTATGATAAAGTGTTCTTTTGTTTTCAAATTGCTTAAGTAGTTTGTGAGATTATGATACACAGTCCATGGGATTCCCTTTTACCCCACTCCATCACTTGAAAAATCAGCCAGTGGAAAAATTGCCCAGAAACAACTTGAGTTTTAATGTCAGTTAGAGTACTAAGTATATGACCTTAGTTTTTTCAACTCTGAAATGGTAAGGGTTGGATTGTAATAGACTTAATTTCAGATACCTTGTGTCTCTAATTTTTACTTTTCAATAATGCTTATTAGTTGAGTGCTTACTGTGTGTTAGATAACCCAGTCAATACTTTGTCATATCATCTCTTAATCCTAAAAAAAATCTTAAGTGGCTAATAGGTATTTATTATGCTGATTTTACCAATGAGGATGAATAGAATAGATCAGAATCGTATTATGAAAAATATCATCAGTGTTGTAATTGAGTAAAAGAGCAACTTGATGCTTTTCATGGAAGTCAATGAAACAGAGGTGAATGCAGATCCACCCTCTATTGATAATCTCGTATTGTCAGAATAAGAAAGGCTTACACAACAGGAGACTGCCCAAATACTCTATTGCACCCAAAAGATGGCCAAGCATCTCACTCGAATGGTGATGCCAGGAGAATGGGCACCGTAGAGTGATATAAGGCACTGTAGCATTGCTTAAGAAGTAAGATTCTTTGCTTCTGAAGTTGTGATATATCCTTCATATTTCAGGGAAATTTACTTGTAGAAAAGGAGAATTTCCCCCCAAGTCTTCAGAAATATTTTCTTGTTTAAGATATGCACCTTTAATGAGTTCTACTCTCAATGTAAACAGCCCTTATAAGTATCTAGGAGTCCTCTTTCACATTGTCAGTGTTAGCAATAAATGGGAGGTGGATAATTAATATGAAAAGCGTGTATTTTTTTCCTTAGCTTCAGTTTCCATTTATAGTCATAGGTTTTTCTGCTTCGTCATAGTCCTGTGCGTGCTAGCACTCCAGGCCAACATGGTTTTCACTGTGTGTTGTGTGTGTGTTTGGGGTGGGGGTGGGACAGGCAGATTGACATATTCTGCACAGTAGATAAAATGAGTTTCTTCTACAGGCCTGTCTTGGAGCCTATTACTGATATATAATATATAATATTGCTATAGAAAAAAATGTGTCTAAAATTTTAATTAACTTTTTTATGTTGAAGATGCCTGTTTATTCTATAGAGATTTAAAAGTAATTTTAATCATATGTTGATACCCTTATTACCCTTTCAGTCATGCATGATGGTTTGAAAATTTTATCATAAATTTGTTCATAACACCAAAGGGAAAAGAAAATTGGAAGAGTATATGTGTGCATACACATAATCTCAAGGATAGTTTTGACTGACTTTAATCCCAGACAACCTAATTGTGTTCTGTCTAAATTTTGTGAAATGAGTGGATAATTAGTTCTCTCCTTTAATGGTGGATTTCTAGAATATTAAACTATTAGAAAATACTGTGTCATGTTTGCCAGAATGTGTTGTAGATACATTACAGCAAATTCATGAATGACTAGATATATATATAAGAAAGTTTATTTGGCTAGAGCAACCATGTTTTGAGAATAAACAGGTTTGAGTGTACTGTTGTTTTTTTTTAGTACATTCTAATATTTAATAGTTTGTTGTTTGTGATCAATATTGTTAAAAAGATAAAGACAATACAAAGCTGAGATTGGAGAAATTAGTTTGGGAAAACAACTGATGTTCTTTGAGGACTATTCTGAAATCCATAATTTATTACTCCTTTTTTTTTAAATCATTGTGCCTTGAGTTATGAAGAAAGCTGTAATCCTTGAGCCACATAACCCCACGCAGCTTTCCTGTAGCTAGGAGACGTGGAATGCTGGGGCACTGAGCATGGCTTTAGGAGTTGATTTTATTTTTCCAGTTTTTCTCGGGTTTCTCCAGGGTATTTACAGAATTTTAGATATTAGAGGTTTTATTCCTTATTTTTTCTGAGAATGTTCTATATTGTACATAAGTACTTTTTAACCTAAAATTAGTTCGACTTGTTTGTGACTGGGTATCCCTCTTGTAACAATGTTCTTACTTTTTATAGGTATGCCTTACATTTTCTTGTACAAAGTGGAGTTTCCTACTGTATCATGATCATAATAGGAGTGGAAAACATGCACAAGTAAGTATTTACTTTGTCCACATATAAATGTATTTAACTTTAATAGAATTGGATCAAAATGGAATTTTAATTTATTATACCAAAAATAACTCTGAATTGTGCTAACATTTTAAAGAAGAATTGTCATAAATACAAAAATAAAATCATTGGTATGCATCACTCTTCTATTTATTTAAAGCAGAGTTTTTCAACCTCAGCACTGTTGACATTTTAGGACAGATAATTCATTGATGTTCAGAACTGACCTGCATTGTAGGATATTTAGTAGTGTCCCTGGCTTCTACCTACTAGATGCTAGTAGTACCCCTCAAGTTGTGACAATTATAAATGTTTCCAGATATTTTTAAATGTCTCTTGGGGAGTGAAATTGCCTCTTGTTAATAACCACTGACTTAGTTCTGTAGGTCTGGGGTCCCCAACCCTGGGCTGCGGCCGGTACCAGTTTGTAGCCTGTTAGGAAAGGGGGCCACACATCACTGCTTGAGCTCTGTACCACCTGCACCCCTCCCCCCCACAACACCCCACCTCTGCACCTCAGTCCATGGAAAAATTGTCTTCTATGAAACCTGTCCCTGGTGCCAAAAAGGTTGGATACTGCTACTGTAGTTGATAGCAGTGGAGAGATGGAGTGAAGTGAATAGATTGGAGAGAGATTTCGAAGGACTGAATGATTGATAGGTGCAGGTAGTAAATGAGGTCTCAAGGATTACTCCCGAGTTTCTGGCTTAAACAGCAGGCTAGATGGAAGCACAGTTGTCTGGGGTAGGAAGCCCTGCAAGTGCAGAAGCATGTTAAGGGGACAGCATTTCAGCCGCTAAACAGTGCTTGGTATGTAATAAACTCTCTGAACTTTTGCTAAGTAAATGACTGCTGCCTTTACGGTATCTGTGAGGCATAGTAGGACCTGGGTAGTTATGTAGGCATGCAGTTGGAGCAGAGTAGCTGGGCCAGAGATATAAATTTGGGAATAGAGATGGGTAAAATGTGTTTGGTTGAAAACTCAGGGATAGAGTGTACCAGCGGATCCTGCTGGGCTGTTCCTTATTATCTGAGATGTGATGTATGACATGTGCACTGTATTTCTGAATTCTTAAGCACATGGCTACAAGAGTTTTGCATAAGGAATCAGACCTTATAGCTTTTGATTATCTTTTTCTGAGTCTCATTCTATTTTGTGTCTTCTGTGTTTGGCATTGCCAGTTATCTCCTTTGTTGTGATGTGTGTCTTCTCAATTTCTAGTGACACTACCTGTACAGGCTTTTCTCTTTCTTAAGTAAACCAACACTTGCAGGTTCTTGATGTTTTGACTTTAATTTTTAAAAGAGGAGAAAGAATACTTTGGTGTTTCAGATGAAGCAATTTTTATACCATTGTGACCCTATTTTTAAAATCTTGTACAAATGACAGGTTCAAAGTGATACTACAATTAATATCTGATGAAAAAGATACGTTTTCAATCTATACAGTAGAAGAAAAACCTAGTTAGATTACTAAAAACAGGGGATTTATATACTACTGTCTAAAGCAAAAGTAATATGCTTTTAGTTGGAAGGTTAGTAAATTCATATCTAGTAATAGGAAATTGTTTATTTTTCTGAAAGGAAATTGCAATCTGTGAAGTTAACTTTATAATACTTTAGACCTGTACTGTTCACCATGGCAGCCTCTAGCTTACAAGTAGCTGTGTAAATTTAAATTAATTAAAGTTTAAAATTCAGTTCCTTAGTGACATTAGCCACATTTCGAGTGCTCAGGAAGCGACTACATTGGGCAGTGCAGATACAGAACATTTCTATCATAGCAGAAAAGTCTGTTGTATAATGCTGCTTTAGAGACATATAGTTGTATAAAATTAGTAATGTTACTCTTTTGCAGTAAGTATTCAGGGAGAAAATGCTACTTGTATATATACTGCTGATATTTAGAATAGAATTTCAGTGTTGGAATATTAATGGAACAAATTAGGGTAAGTAAGGGTTTGTGATATGAATTGCTATTGTTGGCAGTAAATATCAGGTGGTTAATTAATTTGAAAAGTGTGTATTTTGATCTTTTTTTTTAGCTCTCTTCTATTTTACTTTATACTCATATGTATTTTTCTGTTTGACGTTTTCTTATTTGTTTTCTTGTTATCTATATATACTTTTTTTTTCTCTTAGACCTTTACATTAATTTAAAATGTTTACTAGGTCAGACCTTAAGAATTTCACCCAAATACACTAGATGGGCCTTAGAGCATTCTTGTGTGTTGTTCAAAGTTATTGTTTGTGTATAATGCAATCTGTTTTATTTCCTTCAGTCTAGTTTTACATGGTATGCGTCAGCGGTCCCCAACCTTTTTGGCACCAGGGACCAGTTTCATGGAAGACAGTTTTTGGGGAGCAGCTGTAAATACAGATGAAGATTTGCTTACTCACCTCCTGCTGTGTGGGGCCCTCCCCTCTAAGTTTAATGGAAGTCAATTTTCCCATAGGGCTGGGATGGGGTGGCCCGCAGAGCTCTGCGAGTGGTTCCCTAACAGGCTGAAGACTAGTACCAGTCCATGGGCCTGGGTACCGCAGGTACATGGACTATATTTCTATGAGTATGTAGGGTTTAAATCTCTAAAATGAAGGATTTGGACTTTGGTACTTAACAGTTTTAAAATTCTTGCATGTTGCTGCTTTATAATTTTTTCTTTTTCTCTTTTTTCTTTATGATCTTTATGAGTTTAGTTATTGTGTTGGCTCTAACAGATCCATGCATAAATTAAAATATTTTAATATAATATAAAATTTATTTTTGTAGCTTCCTTTAATGCTCTTATGTATGCTTTATTATTCTGTTCCATATCTAGATAATCTATATTTAACACTTAATCTATTTGAGAAATCATTGCTTTTTCCTAGTCTGTATTTCCATAAAAGCTTTGAAATTTTTGAGAAAAAAATTGAAAATTTTAAATAATAGAGACAAAGAAATATTTAGCGATACAGTATCCTATTGTCTTAGCCACTTTGGGCTACTGTAACAAAATACCATAAACTAGATGGCTGATAAACAGTAATTTATTTCAGATAGTTCTAGAGACTTGGCAGTTCCGGATCAGGGTGCTGGCAGATTCGGTGTCTGGTGAGGGCCTGCATCTTGGTTTATAGTCAGCCACCTTCTCTCTCTAACCTCACGTGGTGGAAGAGGCAAGAGGGCTCTCGGGCTGTCTTTATAAGGGCACTAATCCCGTTCATGAGGGCTCTGTACTCGCTACCTAATCATCTTCCAAAGTACCCGCCTCTAAGCGTGCTCGTAGACTAGGTTTCAGCATATGAATTTTGCAGGGAACATAAACAGTCTATAGCACTATATGTTAGGATATTAATTCTCTTTAACACAGAAGTAATTCAACTTCACCAAATATCACCTAGCATTTCTGAGAGCAGGGTTTCATGTTTTTGGCTCTGTGGGACATACAGCTTCTGTCACTATTCCACTCTGCTGTTTTAGAACAAAGGTAGCCATAGACAATATGTAAACAGATATAGCTGTGTTTCAGTAAACTTTCATTTACAAATACAGGTGGTAGCCTGGAAAATACAAGTTTAAGTTTGCTAAGTGGTCATTTTAAACTTTCTATGGCACAAGTAGTGGAATATATGAAATTTGTTTATTAATGACTTTTTACAAGTTAATTGTCCTGAAGCAAGTGTTTTCTAAAAAGATGGTTGAAATGTTTGCCTTCCTCTTGGTATAGCTTTTATGTAAAAAGGAAGTAAAATAAGGCCTGATGTTTAACACTTAAAGTGAAAAATACCTATTTAAAACAATATAAAGGATACTAAAATGAAAGGACATAAGATCATTGTATAAAACTCAGTGTGGGCTGGGCATGGTGGCTCATGCCTATAATCCTAGCACTTTGGGTAGCTGAGGTGGGAGGCTTGCTTCAGGACAGGGGTTTGAGACCAGCCTGAGTAACATAGTGAGACCCCTGTGTCTACAAAAAAAAAAAATGAAAAACAAAATTTAGCTGGACATGGTGGTGTACACCTGTAGTCCTAGCTACTTGGGAGGCTGAGGCAGGAGGATCACTTGAGCCCAGGAGTTTTTGGTTGCAGTGAGCTGTGATCATACCATTGTACTCTAGCCTATGCGACAGAGTGAAACCTTGTCTCCAAAAAATAAATAAATAGACAAATAAAAAGTCAGTGTTGTTTTTAAATATCAAAAATGAACAGTCCAAGAATAAAATTTTAAAAATCCATTCACAGTAGCACCAGAAAGAACAATATGCTTAGGAATAAATTTAACAAAAGAAGTGCAAGACTGAAAGTAAAAGGCATTGATGAGAGAAATTAAAGAAGACCTAAATAAATCAAGAGATACATCATGTTTATCAATTGGGAGACTCAATATTTCTAAGATGGCAGTTCTTCTATATTTGAACAATAGATTCAATGCAATTCCTGTCAGAATTCCAGCAGGCTCTTTGTAGAAATCGACAAGCTGATTCTAAAATTTAAATGGAAATACAAAGGACCTAGTATAGCCCAAAAAGAAGAACAAAGTTTAATGACTTAACATTACCTCATTTCAAAACTTAACCATAAAGCTACAGCAATTAAGATATGTACTACTAGTGTTGAGAGAGATGTATAAATCAGTTGAAGAAAATATGGTCAAATGATTGTTGACAAATGTGCTAGGGCAGGTCATTGGGGGAAAGGATTATCTTCTCAACAACTGGTGCCATAATGAGTAGATATACACATGCAAACAATAAATAAATAATACATTTTGACACCCGCCTTAGAACATACACAAAAATTAACTCAAAGTATATCAGAGACCTACATGTGAAGACAAAAACTATACAACCTGTAGGAAAAAATAGGAGAAAATACTTTTGACATTGGATTGGGGGAAGATAAGACATTAAAAGCACAAAGAAAATAAAAGGAAAATTGATGCTTTGTCTTCATTAAAATAAAAAAAAAATTCACTCTTCAGAAGACATGTTAAGTAA